CATCACTTCATAAAAATGGGGATATTTTAAAGAGAATTGCTCAAACTTTAGGTGTTTGTTAGTTTCGAAAAACTACAAAAGGGCTATCTGTTAATTTTGATAAATCAGAGGGAAAGCAGTTAGTCTACAGCTCCCTCTGTCTGCACTAGTCGTTCCTAATTTGGATAGATTAGAAGGAAGGCGATTAGTCTACAGCTCCCTCTGTCTGCACTAGTCGTTCCTAATTTGGATAGATTAGAAGGAAGGCGATTAGTCTACAGCTCCCTCTGTCTGCACTAGCCGTTCCTAATTTTGATAAATTAGAGGGAAGGCAGTTAGTCTACAGCTCCCTCTATCTGCACTAGCCGTTCCTAATTTTGATAGATTAAAGGGAAGGCAGTTAGTATACAGCTCCCTCTATCTGCACTAGCCGTTCCTAATTTTGATAGATTATAGAGGGAAGGCAGTTGGTCTAATCTATGTGCTCAAGGAACACGATTTCTGGAAATGTGTTTTATAGACTAATGAAACAAAAGACAACCCACATGTGTCCAATAGGAAGGCTTGCAAGTGGAGGAGACCAGGAAAAGTTTTCTTCTCAGGTGGGGGGGGTTCGTTTCATCAAAGAAACTGTTAATGGAGAAATGTATAGGAATACTATTGAGTAATAAAACCTTAAAACATCCAGCGTAACTCTTCAGATGCCACAAATTTATTTTGCAACAGGACAATGACCCTAAGCATACCAGCAAATGATCAAGGAACATTTGAAAAAATACAAGATCATCTTGCTCCCATGACCTCTCTAATCACCCGGTTTCAGTCCGATAGAAGATTTGTGAGATATCACAAAATGTGTTCTGAAAAAAAAAATACATGAATTATAGGAATTAAGATTGAAGAACTCATTTACAATACATGGACTGAATTAATCTCCTACGTATCAGCTCCCCCCAGTGGCACAGCGGTATGTCTGCAGACTTACAACGCTAGAATCCTGGTTTCGATACCCGTGGTGGGCAGAGCACAGATAGCCCATTGTGTAGCTTTGTGCTTAATTAGAAACAAACAAACAATCATACATATCTTTCAGAAACTGGTTAGCTCTATGTCTGGTCTGGAAGAATAGTAAAGAGAGGCCCATTAAGTATTATAAAATTTCAAGGTGGTTTCATAAAAACATGAATTTCACATACAGTACCAAAAGCTCAGCACCTTTTTTTTTCTTAATTATGTCAAAGTATCTAGTGCTTTATTTTTAAATGGTAATTTTTATTGTACTCACATAATCTGTTTTGTATGAAACAGGCGTGTCCTCGTGGTTAACATGACGGACAACGAATCACAAGATCCAAGGTTCGAGACGTGATGTCGATAAGCACGCTCCTCACTTTAAATTGCCCCCAGTGGCACAACGGTATGTCTGCGGACTTACAACGCTAGAAACCTGGTTTCTATACCCGTTGTGGGCAGAGCGCATATAGCCCATTTTATAGCTTTGTGCTTAATTACAAACAAAACACTTTCAGCTGTGAACGTGTTATAAAAGGTGACAGTCACTCTTGTTATTCACTTGTGAAAAGCTAAACAGAGACCTTGTGGTGGAGGAGGCTACTAGCTGGCTGCCTTTTACTTTTGTTCAAAATTAAGTATAGCTGTACATAATCCCTATAGAGGTCTCTGACTTTGCCGTTTAGCCACGTGCGCATAAAGTCGTAAGGACAAAAACTATATTTTCAAAAATATATTCTTGAGTTAAACCATCCAGTAACGAATAAACTTAAAACGTACTTTTGTTACTCCGATTGCCCCAATATTTTCACTGTACGACGTCAAGCCACCGCCAGATCCCCATATTCCAGACAGAACACAGGAAATTCCCTCTGCGAATATTCCACGATTTATAGCGCTTGTTGGAGGATGGGGAGCTCCAGCTAGCCGGGCGCATGCGTAGTAATCACCAACCGATTCCACTACTGAAGCTAATATTCCAGCTAATATTCCAAAAACTGCCCCTGTGCTCACTGTTGGTAAACCCCATTGTCCTGTAAAGAAATTAATAAAAGATGGAAAAATAAATTTAAAAAATCACTTTAAAATGCACCAGTTATAAAAGATAACACACCATTAAAGTAAACTAGAATAAAAGATAACATGCCATTAAAGTAGATTAGGATAAAAGATAACACGTCATTAAAGTAGATTAGGATAAAAGATAACACGTCATTAAAGTAGGTTAGGATAAAAGATAACACTGCATTAAAGTAAATTAGGATAAAATATAACACGTCATTAAAGTAGATTAGGATAAAAGATAACACGTCATTAAAGTAGATTAGGATAAAAGATAACACGTCATTAAAGTAGGTTAGGATAAAAGATAACACTGCATTAAAGTAAATTAGGATAAAATATAACACGTCATTAAAGTAGATTAGGATAAAAGATAACACGTCATTAAAGTAGGTTAGGATAAAATATAACACTGCATTAAAGTAGATCAGGATAAAAGGTAAAATGTCATTAAAGTAGATCAGGATAAAAGATAACACGTCATTAAAGTAAATTAGGATAAAAGATAACACGTCATTAAAGTAGATCAGGATAAAAGATAAAATTTCATTAAAGCACATCAAGATAAAATATATCACATCATTAAAGTAGATCAGGATAAAAGGTAACATGTCATTAAAGTAGAATAGGATAAAAGATAAAACGTCATTAAAGTAGATTAGGATAAAGATAACACGCCATTAAAGTAAATTAGGATAAAAGATAACACGTAATTAAAGTAGATTAAGATAATTTACATTTCTAGAAAAACGAGAGGGATATCTATTAAGTGTTTTTTTTTATTGTTTAATCTTTAATCCGTAATTTTTATCTTATTCTTGATTTTGGAAATGCGTGTAACAGCATATACAAAAGTCCCTAGATAAAATAACAACACTTGTGTTCCTAAACGTAAAAGAAAGCGTGTTAGGCCCTCTATGTGTTTAATACTCGTTTTCTTCAATCTTACGAAGTCAGTATGTAGTTATTGGTCATACTGAAATGTTTTGAAACTCATTTTAGATTTTGTTACGCAAAAAAAAAGTATTATAAGTTAAAATAAAGTTTGCTGACTAAACCAAATCAGTTATAAGGTTACTGAAATATTTCTTTAATGTAAAGTGTTTTTTGTTGTCATAGAGAAATGAACATTTTAAAATTTCAAAGCGCATTTTACTTATTGACTAATTTCTGTTGATAAACCAGAACTTAAGATCTACTTGGATTTATGACATTACTTGGCTCATCGTTATGCAATTATTACTATGATGAGTTTGAAAGACTTTTCATTGCAAAGCATGACATCTGATATACCAAATACATTATACGCATACTAACCTGGATAAGGAAACCTAAACCAAGGGCTGGAGTAGAGTGTTTGTAACCGTAAATCTGTTCTAGCTGGGTCAGTTGGTTTTAAAGCACCAGATACTGTCAGGATAGCACAGAAGATCCAAACGATGACAATTGTCAGTAACACCTACAGAGGATAGCACAGAAGATCCAAATGATGACAATTGTCAGTAACACCTACAGAGGATAGCACAGAAGACCCAAACGATGACAATTGTCAGTAACACCTACAGGTGTTTGAATATACATTTACTATTTGACAGGATTGTCGTGCGTAATATTTTTTAAGTATCGTGAATTATTAGCTGAATATTGAGGAAGAAAACGTGAATGATGCTATTAATTAATTATCAAACAACAGTTAAATGGAAATTGTATCATTCATCATGACATTAAAACAATCATTGAGTTACACCATCGAATTTATTTTTAAGACTGAAAAGTCCTTAGTTTGTCTAGAATTGATTACATGCTATTAAATGATCATGACATCTGTCAGTAGATTTTTTTCATTGTCGTAATGTTATAAATATAAATCTGTGAACGAAAGTTTATTGACATTTTACGTGACAAAAATATAAAGAGTGAAATACAAAATGAATTAACAAAACGTTTTCAAAGATACTCATAAACTTAATTTAAATTAATAGCTTAATGAAAGGTAATTGTGGGTGTAACCTATAAACGTTAAGGTCAAATCAAAAGTATTGTGAAGAACACAAGCGAGCTGTTGTAATAGTTTCTATCGAGGGCGGGCTATTTATTATTATTCGGTAAAAATAACGCAAAGTCCACAACACTAACTGAAAGAAAAGCGTTTTATTTCTTCAACTACAAATTGTTATTTTTTTGTTTGAAGTTAAGCACAAAGTTACACTATGGGCTATTTGTGCTCTGCCCATCAGGGGTATATAAACCCCGTTTCTATTCTAGCGTTGTAATTCCGCAGACATGCCGCTGTGCTATTGGGGTTATAATATATATATTTTAACGTAGCTAACGATAAACAAGCGATAGGCTTAACTTCGCAATTGCGAAATTATTCTGTCTCCAGTGCTTTAGTTTTTCATTGAAACAGAAACTCAGCATTTTCAGCGCTGATTTAATTACCACAGACTTTATTATCAATCAACGTTTTATTAATTCTATTTACTCCGGTTTTTAATATTGTTTCTCGCTCTTTTACAAAAATTATAGTGACTGAGCTACGAGCCCGACATGGCCTTGTGGTTAGGGTCGAGTGTTCGAATCCTTTTCCCGAAAATGCTTGCCCTTTCAGACATAGGGGGCGCTATGATATGACGGCTTGCGTGAAACAAACGCCACAGTTGTTTTCCCTCTATACCACGACGACGCTGCCTTACGAAAATAATGTCCCTTTCAATTAATTAAAAAAAAAAGATGTCCTATGAAATGTATACATGACGACCACAAGCATACAACACATGATACTTCTGAAAGTTGACCTTTACCGTACTAATTTTCATATGAACATAATTGTATTTCAAGAAATGCTTCATTCATGGTTACAAGCCGTGGGGGTAATTGACCTGGGATCCCAGTGGTACCGCGGTATGTCTAAAGACTTACAACGATAGAAAACAGGTTTCGATACACATGGTTGGCAGAGCAGTGATAGTCCATTGTGTAGCTTTGTGCTTAATTTCAAATAAACAAACACACTTACCTGGTCATTTAGCCCATTGTTTTCATAAGGCATCGTTCAGGAGAAAACAAAATTTACCATACAAACTGAAACTAGTTTAATCCAGATAGATCAGTTAAAATGAAACTAGTTTAATCCAGATAGATCAGTTAAAATGATAAACAACTGCACTTATCTTTGATCCGAATAAGCTTGGAATACCTTGATGTCTCAGAACAGAATAGTTAAAAGTTCATATGGAACACTTCAAAACTTGCTAGACGTGTCAGTTAGTTAGTAGTTAATTAATATTTAAAAATGATAACATATTAAAGTTTGATATTGTACTATGATATATAATATTAAAAAGTCGCTTTAAGATCCCGTTTAGAGTTTCATATGTGCTAGGATCAACGTGAGTATGTCAGAAAACACTACGCCTATAGAGGTCACTGCTGCTTTCTTAAAGTTATATAACATGTTTGGGATTCGAGGTCCAAAGGTCTCGGGTTCGAGACGTTGTGCTACTAAACTAAATACGCTTTGCAATTTTACCTGTGGATGTATTATGGGAGTGACAGCTAATTTCACTGTTTGGTTTACAATAGCCACTTAAGGCAACGGCTTTTGCTTACAGTTCAAAATTAGGGTTGGCTGTGCTTGAGCCATAGGGATCACTGACCTGACCGTTTATCTCACTGTTTGCATAAGGTATCATTAAGGCGAACAAACAAAAACCATCAAACTTAACTTTCTGAAAAATGTAAAAAAAAATATGTGGTATTCCTTTAGTATTACAAAAAAACAATACACCAGACAGAGAAGGCTAGATAAACGCTTGTTTGTTTGTTTTTGAATTTTGCACAAAGCTACACGAAGGCTATCTGCGCTAGCCGTTCCTAATTAAGCAGTGTAAGATTAGAGGGAACGCAGCTAGTCATCACCACCCACCGCCAACTCTTGGGCTACTCTTTTACCAACGAATAGTAGGATTGACCGTCACATTATAACGCCCCCACGGCTGAAAGGGCGAGCATGTTTGGTGGGACGAGGATTCGAACCCGCGACCCGCAGATTGCGAGTCGAGCACCCTAACCACCTGGCATTGCTGGGCAGATAAACGCATTTTGATAACTTTGAATTTTCTTTTATAATCATTAATAAAAGTTGGATTTCCTTAAAAGAACATTCATATTTATCGTCAGTATGAAAGTCAACGTATGATTCAAAAATTAAACAACAACAACAAAAAAAAAAACAACGGAATAAATTTTGGTCACTTACCGGAAAGAGCTTAAAGAAAGAAAAAACGCAAACATTTTGGTCACTTACCGGAAAAAGCTTAAAGAAAGAAAAAACGCAAAAATTTGGTCACTTACCGGGAAGAGCTTAAAGAAAGAAAAAAGCAAAAATTTGGTCACTTACCGGGAAGAGCTTAAAGGAAAAAAG